TTATTATCGTGCGGATGCCATTGTAAACAAGGAGGAAAGCAGGGAGGGGTAGTAGAAAATACATGGCGTCCACACGATAATAACGTCTGGATGTCCGCATAGGAGAATTTCTATATATATATATATATATATATAATATAATAGGGAGCGGATCCATGGCATCATATTTTGTACACAAGTTTTGACACAAATTTTCAGCCATTAGATTAAAGTACAAAGAATGGCTAAGATTAAACAAACTAATTATTTTATTCTTTATATAAGTATTTATTGAGAATAAGTTTTAATTGACTTTTGTTTCATTTAATTATGTTTTGCACACTTATCCTTTAACACCATCCCCTTCTTCTTGCCTTTATTTTCCAGAAATGATAAAAGGAAAGCCCTGCTACATTTAAACAGCTTGCCTGAGAAAATGACTTTCAAGGACAAGTTTACTTAAGATATTACTCTGGTTGACTAGCTTAGCAGCCATGGCGGCAAGTGGGACCTTGCGAGAAACAAGAATAAAATGAAACACATGATTAAGCTATAACCAGTAAACAAACCTTCGATTCATTAATATATATATACACAGTGTTCAATTGCAGCCAAGACAATATAGAAGAACCCAACAGAATTGACAAAAGGTGACCTTAGAGAAGGTATTGTCATATAGACTAATATATGACATAGGATATGGGTGAATTGAGTATTTAGGTAGTTTAGCGGAAGCGAAAACAATGGAAAACAGAAAATAGAAAAAAAGGGATAGGTCTGGAATCACTCCAGGGGTTTGGCTTCACACCAAGTAGTCTCCAATCTCTGGAAAATAAGCTTTTCTTTATATCTCAACAACTGAATTTTAAAGAACTACATGGGGGGTATTTATAGCAAGTAAAACCTAGAGACAATAGGATAAAAATCCCTTACTAAGGAAATCCTAATCCACCAAGGAACTAAGTAAAATAAACTAGGAAACTTAAATCAAACCCTACTAAAATCTGGAAACTAAAATCCTAGTGAAATCTGGAAAACTGGAGAATCTAGGAAACTAATAAATCAGGAAACTAACTAATGATGTCCGCATCAATATACCAAACTCCTATTCATGTTAAGCATGGATTGAGTAACTTTAAAATCAGAATTGAAAATTCTAAGCTAAAATTGAAAAAACAAACAATTCCCAAGTTAGTGATGAGTTGGATCTTCTCAACCAATTTCCTTTTTTTTTTTTTGCCAACTATAATTTAACTTGTACTATACGTTTACTTCATCATTATCTTTCATATTTCTACTTCCTTCTTGCTGTTGTTGATAATGGTGATAATTTTGATAATTTAGATTTGTTAGAAAGGCAGGAAAAGTAGAAGAAGAAGAAGAAGAAGGGGTTGTGTTAATGTGAAGGGGTGATGTAATTGGATAAGGGTGCAAAAAGTAATTAAATGAAGAGAGATTTAAGAGAGGGCAAAGTCATTTTGTCTTTTTTTTGCTTTTATTTTTGTTTGTGGTCTATTTATATTAGCTTTAGGTTATTCATGAGCATTATATGGGACATTTCAAGCTTCTTCCTTGTGGCTTCCCAAGCTCTACATATTATATTATGTAGTTTGCCTCATTGATTTGGTATTTGAAACAACACGTAGTACAGAGTTTAGCTAACAACACCAATCCCATTTATGACCTGCCTTAACCTGCCCATTTGCCGCCCATATGCTTACATCTAGTTGGCCACTTATTCATGTGTGTGCTTATAAACGAAAGTGGGGGACTTTTATTTTGCAGTTCAATTGCTTGAACTCAAATATGCCAAAGAATTTAGAGGCGATTCGTAGTTCTTTGTGGGGCCGATCATATACGTGTCCCTTGGACTTTTACCAACAATGTAATGTAGTAATGTGATGAAGCTAAGGCAACAAGCTTCTATGTGGTAGGCTTGCCTTAACTAGACCAACTCCTACAGTATCGAATGAGCTTTCCTGGAAGCCTTTTGCTTTATACGTGCAATATAAATTTTTAGATAATGCTTTCCTGTTATTCATATTCAATGTTTATTTTGCAGGTGAGCTTAAGAGATCCCCTTCGTCAGGGTGCTAATGATCATGAACTCAGGGAAATAATCGGGTCAGCGGTATGTGCATGACAATTGTTTTGCTCTATACTTCAGTCATGGAACTGTTTTTTATTTGATTAAGTTCATGTTCTCATGCAAATTCAGCTTTCAAATTTTCCTTGCATATATTTTGAAGACTTTTTTATGTTTGCTTTAGGTGAAGAGGAAGAAAGCTTCACACGCTGGAATGTTTGACATTGCAAAGACAGCAAATAGGCCTATGATACACATTGGTGGCTAATGCTTGGTATTACCTCCTTTTATGAACTCTTTTTTGCCAATCTCTTTGGAGAAAACATCTATGGTTTGTTTGACCGAGTCTTGCAGTGATAAAAGTTTACCCCGCATTAATCTAGTGAGACAATCTAATATGTTTTTTCTGTGGGTTCTGTAGAATACTTGCACGTGGAGAGGATAAATGTATCCATCGCGTGGAGAGGATAAACGTATTTTGTAGTGCCAAACTTGCTATCTCAGGACAGAGGGGAAGAGAAGATTTTGTTACTGGGTTACTGGCTGTATATAAAAGCAAAGCAAGCAATGAGATATCAATCTTTCATGGATCACATAAAAGATCTTTACTGTTGTACTCATATTAGTATAGTTGTGATCAACGTGTTGGCATTTATGCTGAAACAAACAGCCTCCTTGTAACCTATCTATAATTGAAAGGACTAAATTACGAATTTTTATTTACTTGTATTGTATTTAGATCCATCATACATGCCAAATTGAATTCATTGTTTTCGAACTTTGCAGTGATCAGCGGAACTCATAGTAGGTTTTCTGATGTGCAACTGTGCATGCAGTCTCTCAAGTCCTGTTTCAGTTTAACTTTTACATGAGAATTGTGATGTCAGTTATGTTGTTCCACATGTAAAGAGATTTTATGTTGTTTTGATACTCCTCTTAGAAGAGTACCCGTCATCATGAACATAAGCATGTATGTGTGGAAATGGCACCATCTGTTAGTTTGATATATCGCCCATTTGCCTTACCATGGCAAAAGGGGTCTGGACTGAAAAACCTCCCACACCAAGCAAATATAGCCCGGGCAAGAGTTGTCTCAATCAAAACCGGGCGAATCTAAAGGCAAGACCAACTCGTGCTGCTACTAGAAAGTGATGTAGTCAGCGAAGAAAAAAATTGTGAAAAATTACTTAAGAATTTAATTTTTTAATTTATAAATACCTACCAATGTTCTTCACTTTCCACACCAAAACTTCATACAAATTCCTCTCCTCATATCATATTTTTATAATCTCATGTGAATAGTGATTGCCATGGCAATGGGTGGGGGAAAAAAAGGGCATGCACTATTCACGTGACCAGTACACGCCCATACTCTTTGCCATGACAAATGGGTAGAAGTGCTCTAAATCATGTTAAATGGTACCATCTTTTAGGTGGCTTTCAAGACGCAACCATATGTAAAAGCACAAAAATAGATGTAACAAAAATAAAGCATAGCCTTGACTTGCAAAGTAGTGGTCTCAAGTTTGAACCTACATAACACAATGGTTGGTAGTGTGTGTGAGGAAACCCCTTATCCCTTATAATTTAGACTATCACTTGCATTCAATAAAAAGGAAAAAGATCAAGCTCCTACGTAGAATAGTTTCTTAGTTGTCCTCACACAACAGTAATATATAGGCCCTATGGCAACCAACAAACTAGTGTCCTTTAGTCCTTCAAATTTAAGCATCCAAAATCCAATAATCGAGTGTTTCTGACCATCCATGTATCTGAATGCTTCAGTCTAAACTTTGGCTTACTATAAATACCTTGTAATTTGAAGTTCAAATGAATCATGTATCTACAATTTCGTTATTTTGTTACAAGCGATGTTGGGGGAGATCTGCACTTTGAACCTCAAGCCTAAAAGTAATACTCAAGCTAATCATTCATTGCCACTACAATTTCCCCACCATCTTTACACATATCAATTGGTGATTGGGCATGTGCTAAGGTTAGACCGCTGGCTAGAGGTGTCAAATAAGTCAGGTCGAGTTGGCCTGAATCATTTAGAGTGGCCCGACCCATTTAGAGTTGGCTCATTATGATTTTGGTTCCAATACATGCTTTTGAATATTTGTCAATCACGTATTAAACGGTGTAAAAACTGGATAGTAATGGATGGACTTCGAAATGTTGGCAATGTTCATGGACTAGACCCATTGATGCATGTTAATTTTGTAGTGTGTATGAGAAAAAGGTTTTTACACCGTTTAATACACCCCAAAAAAAGGTTTTTACACCGTTCAAAAGCACAAACTTTCAACACCCCAAAAATCATGTATTCATGGACTAAACTCTCATGGTCTAGTAGAAAAAGATTCGAACCCCCATGACAGCTTAGTAGTATGTATGAGAAACCCCATTCTTTTTATAGTTTAGACTACCACTTGTATTTTAAAAAACACAATATAAAATGTTGTATTAAACAAACAATATAAAATGTATATTTTATGTTTTTAGTATTAAGAGAATGATAAAAATAAAAAAAAAGTCCTTTGCACAAGACAAAATGTTTAAATGGTCCAACCTCTCCAAAATTGGACAAACCGATCTAGGTACTGTCTAACAATGACATGAAATAACTCTTCAATCAGTGTCGAACAGTGACCCAAGAGTTGTTCAATGTCACTATCCAGACATAAGAGTTATTTCATGTCACTGTTGGACATTAACTAGACCGATTTGTCCAATTTTTGAGAGACTGGACCATTTTATCTTGGTGCCCTTCTATTTGTCCTTATATGTTTTTAGTATTAAGTTAAGTCAATAATAAATTAAAAGTTAGGGGTCATTTAGTAAGTAACAATGTCTTTACCCATACTTTTTCTCACTTCTTGTGAGTTTTACTTTCCATGATGTATGTATACGCAGATAGTTTTAACTTTAAATAAAGACAAAATATATTTCCGTGTCTTTCGCTCCTGGATTTTGGGTTCGATCGAAGCGAGAGCGCTGAGGTCCTTTGCCCCAAGTCTGAAGATCCACTGTTTGTATATATATTTTTTTGACCGAGTCACTGACTCAGTACGCATATGTCTGCCTGTCTTCATTATTCTCACAAAAACATTCCTGAGAGTTGAGCTGAAATACCCTTCCGAGCAAAGGTACTTCCTTTCTTCTACATTTCTTTTCATTTACTCCTTCTTTTTTGGCTGTTGGGTTCTCCTTGGATCCTTTGCTTCTTGGGCTTCTTTCATGGCAGCTGAGAATTTCTGGATCTGGGTTTTTAGTATTATTGCGTTTTAAGGGTATAGGTTGATGTATATACTCCAATTATGTGCAGGGTTTGAAATTCTTTGCATTCAGTTGTTCGTGTTGGTAATTTTGGTTCCAGTAAAGATTGGTTCTTTTTGTTTTCTTCCGTGGATTATTTTTTTATTGTGATTTCGAGGTTTAAAGCTTGATGGTTTGCTTAGTTAAGAATAATGCTAAAATTTGTGAGTTTGGGGTGTTGAAAGTTTGTGCTTTTGAGTTTTGAGCTGATAAACCCTGAATGAACTGTAGGTGGACTTCGAAATGTTGGCAATGTTCATGGTTTGATGCATCAAATTTAGCTGAATCAGAGACGGGTTTCTATTGATTTTTTATTTTGAATTCTGTAGTTTTTGGAATATCCTGAGGCCTTTGTTGTTGGAATCTTGTGGGTTGTGACCATGCCTTCTACGCACAATCCGGGTTCTTCTTCACCTTTGACTTCATTTGGTCGCTCGATTTGGAGTCGGCGAGAACCGTTTCATTCCATTGAAGCTGATCATGAGTCCAGTGAACAGGAATTAGAGCTGCAATCTTTTCAAAAACTTGTTGTAGATCTATTTCATGACTTGTCAGCTGTTAGTGCTGATGAATTGCTCTCTATTGCGTGGATTCGGAAACTTTTGGATGTTTTTGTTATCTGCCTAGATGAATTCAGGGTTCTCTTGTTGAAAAACAAGGCACAGGTTTCTAAACCTCCCTTGGACCATTGGGCTGATGAATACTTAGATAGGAGCTTGAAGGCACTTGATATTTGCAATGCCACTCGTGATGGGATTGAGAAGATTCGTACATGGCATAAGCATTTAGAGATCGTAATGTGTGCCTTAGAATCTCGAAAGAGGGCATTTTCTGAGGGCCAGTTCCGTCGAGCAAGAAAGGCTTTGATGGATTTGACACTTGAAATGCTTGATGAGAGAGACTCTGGGTCTGTGTTTTCTCACCGGAACTGGTCTTTTGGGCGAAATAACCCAAGAAAGGATGCTCGTCGTCGTCAACACTCATCTGGGAACTCATCTGGGCATTCCCGCTCTCACTCATGGAGCATATCCAATTCTTGGTCTGCAGCTAAGCAGCTCCAATCAATTGCAAACAACTTGATAGCACCTCGTGGGAATGAGATTATTGTAACCAATGGGGTTGCAGGCTCTGTTTACACAATGAGTTCTGTGCTCACTTTTGTTTTGTCGGCTCTTGTGGCTGCAATTCCTTGTCAGGATCGAGGTCTTAGTACTCATTTTTCAATCCCACAGCAGTACTCCTGGGGTATCCCATTAATCTCACTACATGAACGGATAATAGAGGAATCAAAGAAGCGAGAGAGCCAGAACTCTAATGGATTGCTGAGGGAGATTTATCATGTTGAGAGATGTGCACGCCACATGACAGACTTGGTCGATGTGGTTCAGTTTCCATTGACAGAGGAACAGAAAGTGGAAGTTGAACAAGAACTGCAGGAGTTAGCATCGATTTGTGAAAAATTTAAGCATGGACTGGATCCTCTGGAACGACAAATCAGGGAAGTATTCCGTAGGATTATGAATTGCAGAACTGCAGGTCTCGAACTTTTGAGTAGGGCAAACAATCTGGAGTAACTCAAAGTAGATAAATTTCGACCGAGCAGTGTACAAATTTCCGAACATATTGTTGTTTTGCATATTTCTGAGTTTGCAAGGAGAGAGGAAGTAAAGATGGTGATCAGCAACAATACAGAGGTTAAACAAGCATCTTGAAAGTATTTCTTTAATTTCTTGAACAAACATAGTAACTTCTTTTTCCGGGTCTTTTGGTAAAATTATTTCGTCTTCTTTTCTTCCCCCGGTCTGTATGTCACAGTTTGGTTTGTATATGTTATGTTTTAAAAGTCCTATTCAAATTTACTTACATTTTTGCGCTAACTCAGTATTCTCCGATATATACAATCTGGTTGCATTTCTGGAGTGTTTTAGCTCCTTCTTCAGATGTGTTATGTGTTCTGAAGTTCTTTGCTTTTGTTTATCATATTCATGGTCAGCGGATCTTTGATTGTGTTAACGTTTGGATGTTAACCATAACCTTGATCTCATGGAGTTTGAGATTTGTACAATATATTGTAGATTCATTGGCGTCAAACTATCGTATAAACAGCCACATTAATCTGCAAGATATATATATATATATTTGTAACTCTGGCCCTCTCATTCCTAGTATCTCAACATTTTCTCCTATCAAAACCAAGTTTGTCAAATGGCCACTCCCCAGATTCCCTTTTTATGTGAAATGCATGTTACCCTGTGTTCATGTTAAATCTTTCAATAGGAATGGGATAATATTTGGCTGATGAAAGAGGAGAGGATGAACTCCTCGTGAAATGAAGATGCGGTCAATTGGAAATGAGCAACTGTCCAAACAATGAAAAATTGATAAAAAAAACAAAACTTGAAAAGTAAAACCCAGAGGCAAAAACTTGGAACTCTTCATTCAAGGACTCTCTTCTTTTAGGACCCATGCATTGTTCCTGAACAGCTTAATGGGAATGACGACTTCCCATACCCAGTCCTTCTCTCATTACTCATATAAGTAAACATGCTCTAAAGTAAAACAAACAAGCTTTTCAGGTGAAAAGGAACACACCAAGGCAAATTTAGCCCTAAAACAAGCAGAAAAACTTGTATGAAACGTTTTGCTATCCCCGACCAATCAATCACAGAGTGCCAGATAGAAAAGTTATCACATGTGAGTGCCAGATGGAAAAGTTATCACATGTGATATACGGTGGTTGGTCGGGAATAACAAAACAGTGCTATCCCCGTTTCACACAAGTGTTTCCCCTAAACAAGAGATTGATCTATTTAAAACCAATACTTATTAAACTTCTGTATATCATTCTCATATAAAATCGTAAAGGAAGTTTAGTACGATGTACCATATAGCTTCTGACCTAATATATCATATAGGAGTAAAGTAACATTAGTGTTATATATTAGTCCATGCTCTAGTTCTATCAGCTTGGCCTTCAATCAGCATCAAGGGCAACCAAGCTTTCTGTAAATGAGAAGGTTATTTTCATTTTCTACAATATTAACTACAAGAGCCGGCAGATGTTTGTCAAGGATCTCCCACAAGCCGTCGATTGAAGGGCATCCACCATTAGTTGTATTCAAATTAATTCAAATCCTCAGCTGTACCATGCTTCTCTTTACAAATCCACTTCGACTACTTAAAGATATTACCACCAACAGCTAATCAACCCTCAGACTGTTTTTCCCTTCTTCCCTTTCCCCCTTTTTTCAGTATTTATCTACTAAACCTATGACCGTCTTCTTGCTCCGTGCAATTCCTTTATATAACTGACTCCAGACCACATAGTAGGTACCGCATCTACCAGTGCACTGAATGCACTCTCCGAAGAACACGAGGTGGTCTCCGCTGCTCTACAATAGGAATGAGGTTCTCCATGAGCTGCATGTGGAGAGAGAGAGAGAGAGAGAGAGAGAGAGAGAGAGAGAGAGAGAGAGAGAGAGAGAGAGAGAGAGAGAGAGAGAGAGAGAGAGAGAGAGAGAGAGAGAGAGAGAGAGAGAGAGAGAGAGAGAGAGAGAGAGAGAGAGAGAGAGAGAGAGAGAGAGAGAGAGAGAGAGAGAGAGAGAGAGAGAGAGAGAGAGAGAGAGAGAGAGAGAGAGAGAGAGAGAGAGAGAGAGAGAGAGAGAGAGAGAGAGAGAGAGAGAGAGAGAGAGAGAGAGAGAGAGAGAGAGAGAGAGAGAGAGAGAGAGAGAGAGAGAGAGAGAGAGAGAGAGAGAGAGAGAGAGAGAGAGAGAGAGAGAGAGAGAGAGAGAGAGAGAGAGAGAGAGAGAGAGAGAGAGAGAGAGAGAGAGAGAGAGAGAGAGAGAGAGAGAGAGAGAGAGAGAGAGAGAGAGAGAGAGAGAGAGAGAGAGAGAGAGAGAGAGAGAGAGAGAGAGAGAGAGAGAGAGAGAGAGAGAGAGAGTTAGATCGTTTACTAGCACTTTTAAGATTCTACCTTGTATATAAAGAAGAAACGATATGAGCAAGTTCACTGTCATTATGTGGTTGAATTTGATCTAAATCAAGGATCGCATTGCATATTAGCGTGGAAAAAAAATCCAGATTATGAACAGTTTATCTTGTCTTGAATTGTATAAGGGTAACAGATAAATAAATAGTGTTAATACAATCAGTCCACTTTATGAAAGGGTAACATACAACTTAGGTTCCAGATACAGGCCCAAAGTCAACTTAAACAACATGCTCAAAGCTTCAGAAATTTTGTTGATATCATCTTTGAATTGGTAAAAACCACAATAACATCATGGAAAAGTACCAAAGACATTTGAACATAATGAGAAGTTAGCTGCCCTCTAATTTGAATCTACGGAGGCTGTCATGCCTATTACAGGAAGAGTATGAGCTCTCTCCCTTGTTTCTCTTGCATCAGAAAGGTTCAAGGAGGAAATGGAACCTTTTGGAACGGATTTCCGTTCATCTACAACAGGTTACATCTTATAAAAAATAATCTGAATCTTGTGCACCTAAATGATTTCTACCCATCCCGTTATTACTGGTAATTATTCTGACCCTCTTTTCTCCCTCCTTGGATTATCTTTCCTCTTTCCTAGTATTGTTTGGAATTTGACCCAGTGACCTCAATATGGGTTGTAAACAGAGAGCCAAGGATCACATGAATGGTAAATCATGTTACAATTTGTAGTCAATTCCACTGTTTTTTAAGCTGATAGTTTCAGAAGAATATTTATCTTAGTTTGCACTTAAACTTTGTAGGACCTCATTTGTTCATATCTAGTTATCACCAAATAAAAAGGAAACACCCAGCGTTAGGGTTTAGTTACATACTACAGACAGCATGCAGAGCCTAAGAACACTATGGTTAATATTTATTCAGTCCAAATAACACAGAAACATATTGACAGCAACAACCCCTTCATGCAGTGTTTAACATCTAGTTACATACTACATTCAACGTGAACATTTTTAACTACACCAACATTGTGAACTAGTTGTTAAACTAGGGTTCATTGGACTGGGACATCACAATGGACAGCAAAGCATCATAAAAGAAAAAGCCTGTCATTGTATACTCAAAAGCATTGACAGTTTGAAGATTATTGAACAATGATTATCAATTTGGACACCGAATTGCCACAAGAACCATAAAAGAGCAAGATAAGTTCAACAATCAAAAGTAAATAGCAGAACCAAAAGTTGTCACATGAATTTGCATGTTACATGGATAGGCTTGAGCAATAAATATTAGATATTTGTAACTACAATAAGCATAAAAATGGTTGCTCCAATGTATCCCCCATCAGGTCATTTATTTTTCAAATATTCAAACTACCAGTCTTTCATTGTTTACAGTATAAACAGCGTAGCCGACTTAAGACTTCCGCATTAAAACTCACATGAAAAATATCTCATAATTTGTTCTTAAATTTCTTTATTGCAACTTCGTTTCTGCATAGATCTTCTAATTTGTTTTAAAATAGCATTATATTGTCAAGTAGAATACCCTGCTTACTTGGGTATAAAGAACAACCCCCTATAATAAACACACAAAGACAGTTCACAATTCACCAGATACATACAAATTATCAAGCATTCACCCACATATTCAGCCAGATTAAAATTATTAGATGATTTCTCAAACTCTCTCAGCGCTTGTATCGAACATTTTATTTCACATAGTTTGAGAAAGTAGTCATGAGACAACAAAGTACATACCCGCTTAAACCTCTCCTTCTTTTGCTCGGCCTGCATTCAGAATTCCAATATCTCAGAAAATTCAGAACAGACTATGATCTAGGCATAAACTAAATAAAAGTTACAAGGTAAGAAATCATCATGCTATGCAGGGAGCAATCAATTTGCAGTCATCACTTATAAATCATCAACATTTACAGAACCCAGTTCCTTGCCCAAAACTTACGAGTCAAAAGAAACGAGGCTTTAGCCAAGGAGCTAAAAAAATGTCTCAATGTGAGAAATCAGTAACTGATTTTGAATAAACTACAATGGTGTTCATGGAATTAGAACCAAAACTGTCTTTTAAACTGAATGGTACAAGTTTATGAACAAATTTTGCAGCAGAAGATGATGATGTTGATGAAGAATTATACCTCTTCTCTCACTAGCCGCGCATTTTCCTCCTCCAGCTGCGTTACCAGAGATTCTAGCTCAACCGTGTAAGCCTAAAATTTCGAACAAATTATGTTTTTCAGCATGAAATTTGGCATTTCATTTCCAATAAATTCCCAACATACAAAACCAAATTGAATCTAAGAATTGTCAATAGCAAAAGCGAATCAAACCTGCTTGCGTTCCCTGGACCTGGCAGCCGACTCTCTGTTCTTGATCATCCTCCTCTGCTTCTGCTGCGTGGCCTTATCAAGCGGAGCTTCCTGCACAGCTCTCCTCTTCCCGGCTCTCCCTCCTCCACCTCCTCCCCCGCCGCCTCCACTCGTACTCGTCGTAGTCCCGTTTCCGTACACCACCTGCCCTTGAGCAGGAGCCGGCGGCGGCTGCACCTGGAACTGCCCGTACCCAATCGGAACCCCACCGGCACCAACGGTGACGTCATCTTCCCTCACCGCCCCAGCCCTGGTGAGAAAGTCCTCCAACGTCATCTCCTCCGGTGCAGCTGCCCGCACCTGATCCCCGCCGCCCTCGCCCTCCGCGGCCGCCTCCTCCTCCACTCCCACTCCGCCGGCGACGATCTCCTTCCAGACCTCGTCGACGGTCCTGGGCTCCGCATGATGATGATTGTTGTCGTCCATGTCGTTTGTGGTGCTGGTGTTGTAGATGTTCTTGAGGATGTCGTCCATGGTCATGGATTGCTGCTTGTCGTTTTGGTCGTCGTCGTCGGCCATGAGAGTGGAGAGCGAACATATAGACGACTCTCTGTGCGGCAGATCCGAATTCGTCGTTGACACCACCATCTTCGAAGACGCCATCATCCTCGGAACCCAACCGGATTTCCAGGCTCTACCGCTCTGATTTGATTTGATTTCTTCTTCTTCTTCTTCAG